AAAAACCTCCCCATACGTAGTGCTTGAATACATGTGAATTGTAGAAAGATTTATTTTTTTTCCCATTCTCCAACATATTTGTATACAGTGTGTAAGTATTCAGCGCTAGGCTCCATAAGCACATTCAGAAGGAAGAATTTCTCATTTGCCAAATCCTTATGGGACTTAAAGCTCACATTTATTCTGTATAAATCCTGAAGAGCAGCAAAACTCAATTGATCTGCCCTCAGCTTATCCATCAGTGCAATATTTCATTTTATTTTTTTTTTTAAATCAAGATGAAAAATTGTTTTGTTGTTGAAACTATGCCTTATATTTGTTTAGCTACTGCTTCTGCTATCTAAGAGAGAGTACGAGGGGAGACAGCCGTCTGCCACTTGTTTTCTATGCTGTTATGCATCATTGGTATCTCAGCTGAGTTATGTATCTAAGACTTGGAAACAGTCTGCTTTATATTTATAAATTTTTCTGTAAAAAAACCCAACTATTTTGTTAAACAAAACAATTTAAAGCAAGTCTGGGTTATATTTTCCAAAATGAAAGAAAAATATGTATATTGCCATAGTCAAAGGAGTCTTAATTCAGTTCCCCTCAGCTGTGCTGGCATTAATAACCACGCGCACCATCACTTGGACTGTGAACTGATGCTAAATAATGTGCATTAGTTACAAAGATATTCATGTTGAATGCTACGCTGTAACTTCCAATAAAATTAAAGAAACAGTAGTCTAAGGCTAATGAAGATCATTTTTCCATGGTGACTTTATTTTAAGCCCCATGTTACCTTTAGGCAGGGATAGACAAGAGCACATGCGCTTGAAACATCCATTTCCAAAATCATTCAGCAGATGTGGAAACATTTCAGATCGTGTGAAACTCTCTTCTGGGGAGAGGGCAAAGTTCCACTCAGAAAATCATCACATCCACATGCAGGTTCATTTTTGCTTCAGGGGACATCTAATTAGAGAAGGTTTTACTATTAAAGCTATTATATGAAACTGCTCTTGCAGCCTTATCACAAGGAGTGGATTAATTTTGTTTTACCCCCTTTGAAGGCAGGCAGAAGCAGTTTTACGTAGGCTGCAGCCGTGACCTGATAAGGCTTCATATTCGGAGGAGCAAGATTATGGCTCAGGAAGGTAGTTCAGTGCAGAGAAAGGCTTTGGGCCAGAAGATGTTGGGCAGGCATATAGACCCCCCCCTGGACAGTTTCTCCCAAGGAAGCAGGGGCAACCTTAGAGCAACAAGAAGGCAATTTCCTTTCCCCACTTGGAAGAGGGCAGGAGACGGCACCCAGGTGTGCGAGGCACAAGGCAGCAGGATGCCTCCAGGCAGGTGTGTGAGGCGAGGCAACCTGAACTAGGCGAACGGCTGTTGATTGGCAGCATACTCATCACGCCGCATGCCTTGCCGAGCGGTTCCTCCCCATCAGCGGTTCAATCCTAGAGGGACACTGCCACAGCACGTCTGGGCCCTAAACTGCACTCGACAAACACGCTCTACAAGACATCGCGGATCCCGTCGCTCCAGACCCAAACTTTGCTTCCTCTGGAGAGTTTGTAGTCAAACACTGAGCTCAGGCCTGTGGGAGCCGCCCCTAAAAGCCTTGTACGGGCTTTGTTGGAGGAGACCTCTCCCCAGACTTTTGCAACCCCACATTTGCAGTGTTGCATTAGTGCAAGACTGGCGTAGCAGCCTATACTCTGGCTGTGTGCTCGTCTCTTCTTCCTATGCATGGCAGCCTCTTGGGGACTCGTCTATTATTTTCTTAAAATACACTGTAAGCCTACAAGAAACAGTACTAAGTGACTCACAACTAAAGCAAGTAGTAAATGGCTGGGCGGTAAGAGCTGCGCAGTTGGGTGCTCTTGTAGACATGCCCACACAATGCCAACCTGGCAGATACCTTCCCATTCTTGCAACCACACTCCTGCCTGCTCTCTCCCAATTTTTCTAGATCTTGTTTCATCTTGTCATGAGTCAGCATCCAACTCTACTAAGATTAGACACATCCCTTCTCTGCAGACTACCTGGATAGACAGCTACGAATCCAAGTGATCCAGAGATACTTGTTTGCGTTCATCCACAGATGAATGAAAACTGTTAAAATTGCCTGAAAACTAGTTGTAAAACCTGTTTTCTATTTTAAATAGTCTTAGGTACTTAACAGGATTGTCTTTATAAGTTGGCTTTTCCAGCTTGAGATTTTTTTCAAGGGACACGGAGATAGCTTTGCAAAGGAGTATTAGGAGGAATAATTCAATTGAAATGTGCTGCGAACTGTTAGGGGGTATCCTGATTGCAGTTAACATATTTTTGTTTAACTGAATCCAGGCTGTAGAAAGATCGGCCCCCTTGGAGAATGACAGAATTCGAGTCCGAACGTGAACACGTGGGATGTGCTCCAATCTGCGAGCAGCAGACAAGTGCCAGAAGTAATCAGCCTCTTTCTGTGAAAAAGGCACAGACTGTCTTCACGAGGATTAGGCCTGGCTACCAGGGAAAACAAAGGAGCAAGGCAAGCAGAATACTGGTATACCTGCTAAGGGAAGAAATCAGGGCTCATTTACAATGCTCTCTAGTGAACAGCGGAGTCATTTGATCTTTTCTTCTTTCTCCCTACCTCCACTATAGGCTTACTTAAGTATTCGATGTAATTAGAGGGGCTGGAGATCTTCCCTCTTTCCCGAGGAGGATGGAAAATGTAGAATCTGCACACGGTCTTGGTCTCTAACCAAGGCAGCGGCATAGCTGTCCCATACTGAAGTGTTTACCCTTGAGACGACAGCTCCTATAATTAACATGTCTTTTCCCAAACAGTCTATACTGCTGTTGAAATAATTTTTAAAGGCAATTATGCAACTTCAACAGATGAAGCCATTATACACGGGCACCTTTCTGCTGCAATGTGAATTAGTTGAGAAAGAACACACATCCTGCTATATGTGAAAACGTCAGATAATGGGACAGTGGTGAAGTTTCAATTTAAAAAAAAATTACCTGGTAACCATGGCAGTGTCCCTTCAATAAGCAGCACATAAACCCGTAAGCAATGTACTTTAAATACTGTCAGGGTTTGTTGCTCTGCCATACCTAAGAGCAGTCTGATCTTTAGACATCAGAGAAGGCCCAGAGACATTTCAGAGTACAATGAAGGGTGTTCATATCCTTCTTGATGGAGAATAAACTTGTGTCTGTTACTCACATACAACGTCACCTAGATCCAAAGTGGGAACTGAATTAATTAGGCTTCCAACCAGGTAAACCCCGTAGGGCAAGAGAACTGGGTTTGATCCTGCACTTTTGCTTCCCATCAGACAGAGGATGACAAAAGGACCAGGTATTGATTTCTCTGTCTTTTTCTCCGGCCTCAGTTGCTTTTTCTTTCCATGAACGGATTGGCACTTCTTAGTAATTGCACAGAAATATATTTTAGGCGTTGTATGCATTGACTAACCCTCCCATTTTCCCTGGGAGGTAGGTAAGTAAAGGAGAGGGCATTTACTGGCCCACTTGGGAGAATAAGAGCAACGCAATAGGCCTGCACCCCTGTTGGAAACAAAATGGTAAAGTTGGCAGACCAAAACTTTTCATTCGTCCCTATACAATCAGAGCTACAGCAGTGCAATGGAGGTCGTGGATGCTCCATCCCTGGAAATGTTCAAGAGCAGGTTGGACAGACACTTGACTGGGATGGATTAGGCAGGGATGATCCTGCCTTGAGCAGGGGGCTGGGCTGGATGTCCTCGCGAGGTCCCTTCCAACCATGTAATCAGCATTACAAATGCCCTCAAAATCTGGCTACCTAACAGGCAAAGCTGGAGGAGGGAAGAGGCAGAGGTCTTGCCTTAAAGGTCTACACGTGATTAATTTAGCGTACACGATAGTCTCTGCCGCCTAATGCAGCATGCCCACGTACATAAAGCGTCAGCTATCAAACAAACACGCTGCATTTCATAACTCCTCCAGGGGCCCTGATCAAAGAACAACACATTTCTGAAATACAGCACATAGAAAGTAACTGCAAGAAATAATGACTTTTGGAGGTGTTATGTCCTCACGTGGCAGAGGAGGCATTTGGCTAAGGATGCAGGACCCGCTGCATCCATGGCGAGCTAAAGTAAAACTTGCCGGGAACCCGGCAGGCTACAGTCACAACGCCTCCTGCCTCCCTTGCTTTCTTCCGCGACCTCCAAAGTGCAGGCTCCACTCTTCGTCTGCACAGTGTTTATGGTGAGACCCCTTCATTTCTTCCAACCAATTAGAGGTGTTGGTTTTAGCTGTCTTGATCTAAGGTGTTGTTTCAGTTGGTCTAAAAGGGTAGATCTAAAAAAACACCTTAGACCAACATATACCATCAACCACCTTAGATCTACCCCCACATACCATCTAGAGGTAGATCTAGCCCCGTGAGCAGCACGGTGAACTATTCCCAATAACACTGTTATCAAGACCAGAAATGCGAAGAATTGAGGCCACTCGGACCACCCACGCAGCACCGGCAATAGCAACCGCGTGCTAATCCAGGCCTTCGTTCTCCGCAGTAAGAGCTGCAGATTGTGCAAGAGTGTGGCCTGCTAAAAGGCAAGGGGAAGTTTCCAGCACTGATAGTCATTTCTCCTATGTCAAAATACACCCACCTGTCTGAAGTCTGATCATTTCCCAGGTCGCTGGTTTCTGAAAATTACCTTGTATTCGCTTACCATATTTTATTTCATGTTTCATCAGTCCCCCGTGATATCCACCAAATATTCCTTCATACTTAAAGAGAAGAGCAAGGATTTCTGGGGGTGCTGTCTGTTACGAGACTCACTGTATAGCTGGGAGGAACATAAGCCAGCTTTTGGGTACTGCTGTGCCCTTCCACAGAGCCAAACCAAAACTGCTCATTTTTTATTAAGATGTTCCTAATAAACATGTTGGTATAAAACCATCCCCATACTAAAATGCATTAAAACCATAAAACAGACCAACATTCAAAGTACAAAAAGGCACCACCATTATAGGATCAATAATTTACTTTTATTTCTTTATTTACATTTTGCAATGTGTTACAGGAGGAGAAACACTTGCTACTGGAAGTTACACATTTTTAAACCCTTGTCCAAAATAATGGAAATGTTTGAGCATATTCTTTAGCCTGGGGATTCATAGGACTTGACTGGCAATATTAGCGAGCTGGAAGCAAGTGACCTCACTTTGTACTGACTGCATGTACTGGTTTTGCATAGTCCCTGCCCTACCCGTGTAGGGAGACACTAAGCCCATCTAATTTGCTTTCTCCTGCACACTCAGTCTTTGTGCTCCCTACTTTAGCATCTACAAACAAGTAAAGCAAACTAGAAACTGCCTGCCAAGGGCTCTGTTTCTCCAGCACCTTGCTCAGTTTTCTGGCCCAGAAAGAAAGAAAAAAAAGATCCTAATTCCCCCAAATCCCAGGTCTCCTGCATGACAATGCTTTGCGTTGTTACTAAGCCTGCTGCACTGAATGCACTAACGAAAAGTGGGTCCAGTCACTACAAGATACAAAGATTTATAAAATGAATTTGATAAAAATGTTACTAATATCATCCCCCTGGAAATATGCTTAGATTCCTAGTTTCCTTCCACCAAAAATAGATTTTTTTTTTAATTTTATAAATACATATTTTTAATACAGACAATCCAAGGTAATTCTATGCAAAAGAAGTCAGACTGTCACATTCAGACAGGTATCCTCGGTGTAGCATTAAGGTAAAAGCAGACATCACAGTAGGCGTTAGCACAGTGATTCTAGGGAGGCAGTTCACTAACTCAGGCGAATGGATAGATGAACACACGCAAGCTCACCTGCTCAGAGACTGTGCTGCGACCCCAAGACAACCCAGGCAGTGTCCCATGCACAGCTTATCACTTCACGTCCCCCAAGTATTGCATGTTTAGGGATGTGTAGGGAGTTATCAGAGAAGCTTCAGTAGGAATCCAAGGAACATGAAAACAGTTGTGCGAACTTGACCAGTACGTGCGTTTGAGACACAAAGACGCTACAAGCGATTGCAATCTTTTCTTCACGTAACAAAGAATACCTTAAAGCTATCAGGACCTTAGAGTCCCTAACCCAAGTTAACAGTTCTGAGCCCCGCTTTACTGACACCCGTCGGGCAGTTACGAGGTCGCATCCATCCCACTTCCTCCAAGGCTAGCACCAGTGCCAGGAATCCGGCTAGCAGTCAGACCTGGTGGACTGAAACCATCTGACACCTTAGTTTTTGCAGGGTCAGTACTGCAATATGTATGAGGCATGACATCTACTACCAGTGGTGTTATTGTAGCTAAGTAAGTGTTGTTCAGCTAAGCCAATTCCCAGCCCCAATGGTTAATTTAAAGACTAGTTTAATAGAAACCCAACCACACACCCCAGTCGATTTTTGTAACAGTGCAAGGGGTCTAAGTTTACTCAACCAAAGGCTGCATTGGACTCTGGAAAGTGGTCAGGGGCTACATCCAATTCATAAAAACTGGAATTGTATCACAGCTCAGTACACCACGGTTAAGTTCCAGTATGCAGCTAATATCCAGGCAGTATCCACGTAAATATACAGTTTGCATCGCAATGAAGAATTGTATTTTGGGACTTGTAGCCCACTCCTCTAGGTTATAGCTATCTAAAACACTTATACAGGAGTGGCAAAAACATGTGGCCCAAAGGTCTGATAGAGAAGCCAACCCCGCTAGTGATGTGCTCCTGGGAAAGAGAGATTGTGACCTTGTTTTTGAACCTGACAGGAGGAGATTTCCAACATTTAAAAAAGGCTCCAAGTCCTTCTGAGCCAGTGATAATGGAATATTCAGCTGATGCACAAACCCTTTCGCTTGCCGAATAGAGGACTCATCGACAGGAAGGTTCTTCTCTTAGGTCGCTGATCCAAGGTCGGAGCTTAGAAGCACTTCCGTGTCAAAAGGACTTATTCTGTTTTGTAGTCCATAGGTTATGAAACATGGGACCATACAGTAGAGGGTTAAATATTTGCCCTGTTGCTTGAATTAACTTTAAAAAAACATAGTTCCAAGGAACTTAAACTGAAAGACTTAGAAAAGAGAGAGCCAATTGCCTTGTCTGGTCAGAACGATATCACAGAGTCATAATTTGCGCTTCCTCATTCAAAGAGGTATTTCATTATGAGCAACAGCAGGGATTCAGAGTCCAAAACTTCACTTAAGACAACCACAGTGGACAGAACATTAAGTCATGCTCCAGGAAAGAACCAAAAAGTTTTGCAAAGTTAATATGTTAAAAATAAGTAAGAGAATCACTAAAAGAAGGTCATCTTGAATACAATTGTTACTGATTTATCTTGCTTTGATTTTCTTTCATTTGACTTTTAACAGCCCATGTTCACCAGAAATCAATAGATTTAGATAATTTATGCTGTTGGAAAGCTGAATCTGAGATAGCATTAACTTCCCGATACAGTGGCTATGCAACTTGTTTTGAAAGTCAAACGCGGGCACTGGGGAAAGGACAGGAGGGTCATTAATGACACTATTTTAAGGTGTAGTATCACTATCTGGTGACTGCTGGGAGCAGAGCTGAACGCACCATCCACCTGGAAAGCTGGGGTTCACAATGCCAGCGCAAACCCGGTATGGACTAATATTTGAATCTGGGATACTAGTCAGCAGGAGACTAACAAAGAACTTTCTAGGGACCATACAAATGATAAACCAAAGTCTTTTTCAATAAAGGGCACTAAAACTATGATATAAAATCCTCTGGGGTTTTAGTGCGCATTTCCTTGCTGTGCGCTCTTTGTTTCAATATTATGCACTATTTTTCTGTGTGAGCAGCAGAAAGAGAAGTGGAACATGCTCGGCGTCCAAGGCCATTTACTTCTGTACTAAGCTTAGATTATTTTAAAAGCTTTTAACAGTCTACAGCTCTCAGTAAATATGAGTTTTAACCAGTTAAAACAACACTACAAGGGAATGGAAAATGCTCTCTCTTACACTCCTACATGCTGGTTTAGAGTTCGTAAAGCATCAGGCTTTCTTGTTATGTCAGCAGTGGAGGCTCTTTTTTTCTTCTTTTTTTTGGGAAAAAATATAAAAAAAACCAAAACCAAAAACCAAAGCGAAAAGATAGTAGAATAAATTCAATAATTTACTCCATTAAGTGGCTGAGAAACCCCCCGCCCCCAGTCTGTATAAAGGTTTACAGCATTTTGGTGTATAGGGCTGGGCAAACTGGCTATTAAATGTTTCTATACAGATCACATTCTGATGGTTTGCTAGCTTGAAAACATGATCCCCTGAATATAGGTCATAATCACAGTTTACTCAAATAGTCCCTGAATCCTATCATTAATATTTCATTCTCCTTTATGCTTAACTCCCCCCTTGCAATACGATGCACTGCACGAAGAAATCCATTCTGCACCTTGCTGGAAAGAGGGGACCTGTTCTCCAGGTCTTGTTCTGACAACGTGATGAAGGCAGACACGCTCACAAACTACCGTACTAAGTCACTTCCGCTTTTACAGGACATAGGTGAAGGGGGCGGGAAGCATGGGCGGGGGGCATTTTTGAAACTAGCCAAAAAAAAATAAGGTTGACAAATAACCATAAGGAGCAGGGGGCTAAGGACTTCAATGGGGTCCCCCCCCACATTGCCTTGTTGCAGCGCTCATATTCAAAGAGGATCCTTGCTGACAGCCCCTCCCTTGAGACAACTGCACAAAAATGGCATAACTCTCACTTTTGCAACGTGGGCAGAGATGGTGACATTTTAACTCCCTGCTGCTGGAAATGTAGGTGTCTGGCAGCGCCAGGCAGGCAGACTTGCCGCGTGCCCCTGCTATATTGATCAAGCGCAGAAGAGGTTAATGACAACAGCGGGGGGGGCGGAAGATATTAATACACTGGAAAGTACTGTCGACTGATGCCGACTATATTCTCCACTGCCTCCGGATCAATTAACATATTTCCTTACGTATTAATATTTCAAGAGCTACATTAAAGTCTTCAGTATTTCCAGGAGTTTTGGAAACTTCTCGGCGTGACATAGTCTAACAGTCTTGATGCAAAAGAAAGATTTTAACCTGTTCAAGAGACTTTTTGTAAACTGGTTTTCACCTTGCGATGAATCACTGTGCTACCAAATGATCGACTAATAATCACTAGAACATTACAAAAATAACTAGGAAAGCTCCTTGAAACCATCATAAGCGGACGCCAGCTGATTTTATGGCTAGACAAAGTAGAGACAAAAGCTTGCAGTAACTATGGGCCTCATCCTGCAAGGTAGTAGTTTCTTAAACCACTTTGGCCTACAGTTAAGCTTTTTAATAATAATAAAAAAAAATGCTGTGCTGTATCCTAACCTGCTACAATATCCTTAAAAAACAGGATTATTTGTCAAAAGTGAAAAACAAACCAGCCAAGGACAAACAACGACACTTAATCTCATCACCGGCCCCGAGACAGCACCCTCAGCTCAGACAAAGCCTCCCTGTTCGCACGGCACTGGGAAGGGCCTCTAGTTTTCCTGTTTGAATTAGGCTGTGATGGGAAAGGTGTTAATTCACAACAGGAAACAGACTTTTATAGAAATGAGGACAATCACACCCGTCTCAGGCTAGCGGGGCCTTCTGTTGAACTCACAGACGTGGAGACACCAAGTAGTTACAAGAAATATCTACAAGCTTCAGCTGCATTTTTCTGACACCAGAGAACTGAGCTTCTGAGTAAGGGTTTCGTGACCACAAGTCAGTAGCAGACAAAAGGGCCGAAGCAAAGGACAAGAACACCTTTCCACGTGACACTTTCAGTGATTTTCAGCTATTCTAGGGTATTGTTTGAGGTTTGCAACTCCCTGCCCCCCTTCTCCAAAAGGCCGTGTAATAAAGCTGTGCAAAATGATTCTTCAATTCCTTACGGGGCACCAGCAGTGAAGATACAGTGCTAGCTACAGTGCAGCCACCACAGCCCCATGTTGTGCAACTCGTCGTCTCTATGGGATGGATCAGGTCTGGTGCAAAGGATTTTTTATTCTTTTCTTTTTTTTCTTTTTTGCAGAAAGAGGAAAGCACACGGGATCACAAACTCCTTTACGTTTATACACAACAAGGAAACTGGAGAGTACACTCACTCCAATGACCCTGGAGAAATAAAACCTCTTTCCTGACGACCCATACAGCTGTGCCTACCGCTGTATTCGCCAGAGAAGGAAGGAGTTTGATGTGGGCAGGAAAAGCCTAGCCCAGGGACTGGCTCAGTATCAGCTGCCTGGTAAAGCTAAACAGGACTAAAAAGCATCAACTTCTTAACCCGGTTACTCTGCAAAGTGAACGCCGGAGCTGAAATGAAAGGACAACGCCAGGCTTCTAACAGAAGCAGAAGAATAGGGCAGTATTTGGTTTAAAAAAAAGAGCCTTTCATTGAATCGCTATCCTCCAATGTGAGTTCTCTTGTTTTGAAGCTATCTATCTAACAGGACACGTCCCTCAGACAGAGGGGGAACATTTGCTGAACTATGTATGTAGAGATGGCCTTTCTAATGTCACAGGTACGGTTTCTTTCCCGGGATGACAGCAAGACATCTCTAGCTGGACATGCAAATGCAACTGGCCGTACGACTGCACCCCTTGGGGAATTCCTGAACAGCATCAGACAGCGACGTGCGTCTCGGCATTTGCGTTAGACTCCTGCCCCTTCACGGGCTCCCCCACGCTGCATTCCTAGCGAGAGCAATCACGTGCTAAGAGAGGCTTAACAATGAGGCCGTGGATCTGCAGAGTCTTGGCAAGGAACTCGCAGACTGGGATCAACTACGTGCCATAGGGCCATCGTCACTCGGAGCAACCCAGAGCCCCAGACACTGGTGACCAGGGATCACTCACTGCTGTCACACTGAATGGAGAGTCGTTGAAGAACCGGGTTCTGCTTCAAAGCTCAGAGAAGAGGAAAGACTTCAGCAAATTTAGTCCTGAAACTCCTACTATAGCAAAGCATCCTTGGTTCCTGAATCCTTGCTTGGCGACCTGGAGGAAGGTGTTGGAATCCCTGACGATTTCTACAGGAAAGGGAAGGCCAGCGCAGCTCTGCTCCCCACCGCACGCTCACGGTCCTCCACTGTACGAATAATCCGCCTTGTTGTGCATCACCAGCTTGTTGTCTACAAAATAGAAACTGTCCGACTGCGTCTCGTAGGGGTGAAGAATCATCTCTCGAACTGCAAAACAAATGGTGGGTTTTAGCTCACGGCTGAAAAACATCCCAGAGCCAGTGCTTCCATCAGCAGATGCATACAGATGGGTAAAAGCACGTGGGATAGGATAGGCACCGAAAGCAACGAACCGCAGCAAAGCGTGCTCTGTCCAGCCCCCTTTCCTTAGCGTCCATGATGAGCAACAATAGGCTAATCCACACATCCTCCCAGGAAGAAGGATCTGGCAGCCCTGCTTTGCAGGTGGGCGCCTAAATCACAGAAACACTGCCCGGGGGCACGCAGGAAATCTGTAACAGGTGCAAAAGGTCAGCCCAGATCTCCCGAGACCCAGCCCAGTGCTTTACCCATGAAACACCTTCCTTCCCAAGGACAGGCGACAGGCGGTACATGAACAACGCTGCACAACGTGCTGTTCTCATTCAGCGCCTGCTTTGTGCAGCTACATCCATTTGCATAACTGGCATCAGATGTTTGCACGGCCGAGAGCACCGCAGAGGCCACCACTTCCTATTACGCAGAGTCACACTTCCTATTATGATTCCTATTACCAGTTTTGAAGTGGTTGGTAGATGTTGTAACAAATGGTTAAATGTCTTTTAACGATCTCTAACACCTTCTCTTGATGCACAACACTTACTGCTAGTGGCTGCATCATGCTTAAAACATTTGCAAATTGCCTCGATCCTTTGCAAAGGGTTCCCCCCCACCATAACACTGCAACCGATGCATCTCTAGAGGTGTGTGCATGTTGTCTCTTTCAATCACTGCCAGCTGCTGAAAAGTCTTAGTACTGGAGTTTTATCTTGACAGAAGTAAAAAGAATGAAGCTCAGTTTTCAGGTCAGCATAATTTATAGAGCTGACAGACAGTAGGAAAAAAAAAAAGAAAATTGAGCAAGTCTGATCTGATTGCAACTGGGAAAGTGGCAGCATGCAGCTACCCCACCCAGCCTTTGCACGGAAACAGTTTTCTGTTGACTGCCACGGCTCCACGTGCCTGGACTCCATCTTCTAGATGAACAGTGCAACAATGCTGATTTCCACAGCTGAGCTGCACGGGCTGCTAAAGAAATGGCAACGGATTGCAAAATCGTTCAGACCTTTAGCTGCACTGAAGCCATTCTCAAGATGCCCCACAAAAAAGAAGTCTGATCTGACTGTGATTGGGAAACATCTGCTGGACAGGGACAACGTTTGGGAGGGAGGAGGGTAAAAGGGGAAATATAGCTTCTTCTGAGCCACAGTGCTGTTTTATTTGGATTTGCTTTTAAGAGCATCTGAAGGGCTCTGACACGATTGAGGTTTATCCCATAAAGGCACCACATAGGAAGCAAGTGATAGTTTCCACCCCAAAACACTCCCCCGTCCTACACTGGAATTGAAGGTGATAAAACAGCAACCGTGGCAGCAGCAAAGCAGCAGGGAATCAGTGTGTTTTAAACCCACTGCAGCATTAGTGCTTTGATACACACGGCCATGAGCTACAATACACAGAGGCAGCGAATACCAACGGC